TCCTTTAGGCTGTATGCTCCTCCTCGGACTTGTCAAATGATTTCATGAGGTCATTTCCAGACAGGGCCAAGTTTACCTGGGGCATGACCGGGGGCTTCGACCTTTCTGAGCTCACGAGATCCTCGACTCTAAACCTCTCGGGTTTGACCTTGTTATTAAAATGTCTTGTTATTCTGTTTTGGTAAGAGGCAATTCGTAAGGCAGTATGCTCAAGCACTTCTTCATGAAGGTCAAGATGTTCGGTGGTGGATCCCTCAGTATTGTGGTGCTCCAAGCATCCGACAGTGGGTAGGCTAACTTCAATTGGAATTACAGCCTCCAACCCAAATGCTAACATGAATGGGGTTTCATCGGTTGTTGTGTTATGAGACGTTCGGAAGGTCCATAGTATGGAAGGTAATTGGTCAGGCCAAGTACCTTGAGCACCCTCAATAGTAGCGCGGAGGTCTTGCAATATGATTCAATAGTTTACCTAGCGAGGCCATTATTTTGAGGATGTGAGACTGATGTCAAGTGATGGTCTATCCCGAGGTTAGTGTAAAAGTTCTTGAATCGAACATTATGGAATTGCCTTCCATTGTCGGTTATGAGCACTTAAGGTATTTCGAACCTGCATATAATAGATTTAAATATGAAATACCTTAGTTAAGTTCTGAGATAATAGCTAGGGGCTTCACCTCCGCCCACTTAGTAAAATATTCTAGTGCTACTGTAACAAACTTCAACTGTCCTCTTGCTATAGGAAAAGTTTCGAGAATGTCAACACCCCATTGTTAAAAAAAGGCGAAATAGTGCATAGGGCTAAGTTCCTCGACTGGAGAATGGATGGCGTTACCAAACCTCTGGCACTTGTTGCACCTCCTGACATAATCCGCGGTGCCTTTCTTCATAGTTGGCCAATAGTACCCGTACCTTATAAATTTGAAAGTTAAGGCTCGTATACCTGGATGATTGCCACATACACCCTCATGAACTTCTGATAGGGCTTGTAATAACTTTAAAGGCCTAAGACATTTGAGGTATGGAAGCGTGAAGCTTCTGTAGAAGATGCCCCCTCTAATGATGCAGTATCTTGTTGCTTTAGATCGGACGCTCCTGGCTAATCTTTGATCCTTAGAAAGATTCCCATTAGTTTTGAAATCGACTATGGGGTCCATCCATGAGGGCTCATTATCGATATCCATGACACTTGGTTTTTGACCTATTTTGGCTCTGTTACCATCCCGATGTGGACTGTCTTGTCAAGTCCATACACTCCCATGAACATAAGTTTTGATAATGCATCTACATTAATATTATCAACCCAGGCGATTTTCAAAATTTCACAATTCTTGAATTGTCTCTATAGATCACGAACTTTCAAACAGTACAAGCTCATCTTTTCATCTTTCCTTTTAATTGTTCCCTCGATCTTTCCTTTCAACTACTGTGAATTGCTGAAAAGCTTGACATATTCAATTTCAAAGATATTGGCGAGCTCTAGAGAAATGATGACGGCCTCATATTCCGCCTTATGTTTCGTGGTTTCAAATTCAAATCTGAGTGCACACTGAATTTTTGTCAGCTTGTCTGGGCCGTTGATTATGACTTCTGCACCCGAGCCCAAGATATTAGATACCCCATCCATAAAGATTTCCTAGTTGTTAACCTCAGTGGTCGACTTATCCTCTGGCCACCGAGGCCTTGGAGTGAGCTCTGCGATAAAGTCAGCTAACACATGTACTTTAATAGAAGGCATGGGCTTGAACTCTATATCAAATTCACCAAGTTCAATTGTTTATTTTAACAATCTTCCTAAGATGTTGGGCTTCTAGAGTATTTGTCTGAGTGGCTAGTCCGTGAGTACCACAATTAATGTGATTGAAAATATTGTCGTAGATTTCATGTCACTATGACTAGGGACATGGAAAGTTGTTCAGCCAACGTGTACCTAGTTTTCGCGCCAAGTAACACATTGCTTACATAATAGATAGGTTGTTGAGCCTTTTTAACTTCCTTGACCAGTACACCACTTATTGCATTTTGAGAAATTACTAAGTATAAAAACAATGTATCTCCAGGCTCGGGTTTTGTGAGAACTGGTAGTGTTGCCAATGTTCATTTGAGCTCTTGGAAAAATCTTTCACGTTCTTCATTCCAATCGAAACTTTGGTTACCCTAAAGAACTTTGAAGAAAGGAAAACATCTGTCTGCTGTTCGAGAATGAACTTATTTAGAGCGGAGACCCTATCTGTCAGCTTCTGCACCTCTTTCTTGCTCTATGAGCCTGCGTAGCCTTGTGCAAAATTTCATACCATTTCCAGAGTGTACTCATGGGCGAAAATTCGACAACCGAGCTGAAAGTTATGCCCGTTTTCATCCATGCTGCTCGTTTGCTGCTTGAATCGAATTGATCCATTTGGTTTCTTCTTCTGAACCCAACTTGAAACTTGTTCCTTAACTTGTTAACTTTGAAACTTCGTTCACCATAGCTTGAACAAGCAATCCTATCGCCTCTTTCACACGCCTTGCCCTCGAACGTGTCATCGGGCCTCCTTCGATAAGCAACAGATCCCGTCCCAGACTTGTCCTCGTCGGGCTCGACTCCGGATCATATCAATATCCCCATAAGATGGGTCTATGTTTTCATCTTTATTCGATATGTGATTTTATTCCTTAACATGCCCCCCATAAGATGATGGCTCATTTGAGCGGACCAATCTTAAAATTTGTGTGCACAATTTTTTTTAGTCTTAATAGAATCGAATTATTCATTGAAACTTAACAAACTCTGATACCATGTTAAGACTTGTGATTTCATCTTAAAATGTCAACGTTAATAAGAGAAGTAGCTTTTGATAAGAGAAGTAGCTCAAACTCTCATATATTTGACTATTTTTTTATTTTTATTCGATGTGTAATTTTATCCATTAACAAAGAGGTCCACATTGTTTCCCTTCATTCTCATTTATAGAAAACTCTATGGGATAAAATTGACACATACTTTCGTTCTCTATAGCTATAAATACCCAACAAAACAAACTTATATCATCCATTCCTACATTTTCTAACCACTGTTTGTTGACTTACTTTTGAAGATTTTTGTTGTTGTTGGAGAGGAAATAAAAGAGGAGAAAATGTTGGCAATATTCAAGAATGATTTGGTGAATCCACCAAAGGAATTGAATAGCCCATCTTCATTTGATGCTTGTGGGAGGATTAAGAGTACGGAGGAAACATTGAAGGTTTTCTTGGCTTCTCATCCCACCAATGGCTTCTCTATTGGATTTGTCGACAAGGCATTGTTGGCTTACGCCCCACCTCAAACGCCAATAATTGCAAATCAAAAGTAGTCATTGAATAACATTGTCTAAAAGTTTAAACATTTCAACACGTTCCCACATTTATTATTTTTTCATATCAATCTCCCTCTCTCTTGAATTCCTTTTCTTGTAGGTATATATGCCTAATAATTTAATAACATGGATCATAGCATGAAATGGCATATGATAATCTCAACCTTTTTAGAGTTTTTAAATTTTCCTATACATTGCTCTGATCAAAACTACGATATTGCAGGTTGTTCCGTAGTGTAAATGACATATACTGCATTTTCCTGTGGTGTTAAAACATCTTGACCAACCTTAACAAGCAATATGGGCTATCAAAAAGTGGAAATGAGGCCATGTTTGTGGTTGAAGCTTATGAGATCCTCCGTGATAGGGGCCCGATCCTCGCCCATCAAGTCCTTCAAGATCTCGAGGGTAGTTTAAGATTTGTGATCTGTCACAAGCTAGAACTGTGTTTGCAGCTCTTGTAAGTGCTATTTATTCTCAATAAATTTAGAATCGTCTATATAAAACATTTAATAAATTATTTGATCTCCTGTTCATAGTGGACATGAGTTATAATGCACACCTGCTGAGGTGGCGTTGCCACATCAATCGGTCAAAAGTTTTTTTCTTTTAAATAGTCAAAAAAAAAAAAAAAAACAACTTGACCGCTGACGGGCATGTAGACAATTGTAATTCTACTTGTGAAAAGGAGATTAGCTTTCTGAATATTAAATATCGAACATGAAATTCAATAAATAATTTGAAATTTATTTAGACATAATTTGGAGAAAGAAAGAATTGAAAATCAATTATATGAAATTGATTTGGAGTGAAGAAAATGAAATTATGAGGGTCCAATATATTGATTTCAATGTGTCCTTTCCCAATGATCGCATCTTTTGACATAAATTAATTTTAATCTTTAGATTACACCATTTAATATTTAATGGTGTAGATTACACTATATAAGCTCATTGAAGACTTTTTTTTAATCCATACCTGTAGATTACACCATCATGATTAGCCATCATTTTGAATTAGATTTTTGGCGATAGCAGTAACAGGAAGATTCCATAGCTGCAACTTAATTAATAAATTAATTAACCAGCCTTGAACACCCAATTATGCTCTTTTAATTAGTGTACACTGTTATAAGTGTTTTGTATAATTAATTTTATAATTAAAAGAAAATGTATGAATAACCATAGGCTGCAAAACGCGAAAACCTCCTAACAATGAATTTTTAGTTTTGTAAGATGAGTAATGACAAAAAAAAAAAGAAAAAAATAATAAACAAAAGATAATAGAATCGACTTTTGAACTAAAAAATGCTTTTGGATTCATGACTTTTCAGAATCGACTTTTGAACTAAAAAATGCTTTTGGATTCATGACTTTTCTTTTCAAATTTTCACTTTCCACCGAATGAGGCTTGGTTCACTTAGTGGATAATGTAAAATTCTCTCTCTCTTGCACTAAAGTTTAAGTACCAAAGGTGATAATATATTTCTGACGTGATCAATACACATTAATAACATCGTTTCAGTTAAACCCCACTTGGAAAGAAAAGGAAAAGTCAAGTCTCGTAAAGGAAAAAAAAAACAGAGGAACATCGTATTACATAACAAACAGATTCTCCCGTATATTTATTGGTAATGACAGAGGTTGAAGACTATTTAAGAACACATCATGGAGTCAGGAGGAGAATCTTTCCTATATGCTTGCTGCTTTCCATTAGGCGGTGAGCTTCTGCAGCTTCAGCTAACGGAAAACACTTGTACACAATGGGTTTTATCTTTCCAGCGGCAATAGCTGGCCATACATTTTTCTCTACCTCACTCACAATCAGAGCTTTGTTATCACGACTCCTATTTCGCAATCCAGCAGCTGCAAACAAAGTTATAACTCAATATACTCCATTCTTCAATGTGTAGTGCATAAAAATACTAGCATATACCATGTGTCCAGTGGATGTAGACCACAATAGCAGTTGAAAATGAAAAATATATATATATGATAAAATACGATAGGTAGCTGAATAATGCTCAACGAAAATAATAATTACTATTAAATTTGAGTGGCCATAATTTTCAGTAAACAAAGCAAACTCATAGATCTAATTCCCCATTCCAATTAAAAGTTTTCAGTCCCAAACTAAGCACTGTGAGAGAGCTTCAATCCGATCACTTTAGTTTTCATGATTTCTTTTAACTTCAATTTCACTTCACCTGGCAATTTATTCTTCCTCTGTTTTCCCAGTGACATGGAATCTTCACTCAAAACGACTACAATACAATGCAGCTGAAAATGTACCCTTTTTCTTCTTAACATTTAGCCCCCGTTTGGCACCCATTCTTTTCTCATTCTCATTTTTTTCTCTTTTTTCATTTCATTTCATTTCAACCACAAATTCTCGAAATAAAATAATATTACACACAAATCTAAAACTTTTCATCACTTTTTCACCACACATTCTCCCATCAATCACTATTCCAAAATTTCTTATTCTCATAAAATGGGTGTCAAACATAGTTTTAGTTGCAAATGGTATAGAGTGGTTGCCAGCAGCATACACTGAAGCCCCTCCTACCCTTGCGTGAAATTACATAGCAATCTACGGTTATCTGATTGGCTTCAGAGATTCCTTCAAAGTGCCAATTAATATTATACACCCATGGAGAAGCATGATATTTTAAGAGGGTTCTAGGAGTTTCCATTATCATTCTTCAACTGCAGGCTCTTGACATTCATAATCAATACATGAAGACAAATCCCACGTGTGCAAAATTCACATTCTCTACAATATCTAGTGCATTTCCGAGGGGTTGCAGTTTTTTGTATTCTACCTTCTGAAGTATCATATCCTTAAAACAAATTTTTTTTTTTCACTAAAAAAGGATATCTAAATGTAAGAAATTCTTGAGTAAGAAATCAACCTTTGACAGTGTTAAATAAGGGGTGTATTTTCTCCTTTTTCTCAAAAAATTATCACCATGTATTGTCAGAATATTGGCTTGCTCCATCTTTACAAAGAATTAAGATTGAGCGTTAAGAGTATGAATTCCAGTTAAAGCTTTGAAATGTGAAAGGAAAAAGAAATATAAACTAGCAGGAAGGCTTAAGCATGTTACACTGCACTGTGAGGCGTCTTGCTAGCAACCCAGTAAGATTTACTTCTGTTTTTACTCCACCCATGAAGCCAATTATGAATAGCCTTCCATCAAAGTTTAGGCTGTCAATGTTCCTTTGAAGGTATGAACCGCCAATGTTATCAAGTATAACATCAACACCTGCAATCAAACATGTTCAAGTTACATCTCAAAAATAATGTATGAAGCATAGAAATGGGAAGATTCTTGATTCGTGCTATTAGAATTTACATGGTGGGGTTGATTGCAAACTTGTAAAGTACATTCAAATGAAATCAAGATTGCCAAACTAAATTATTAGACTAGATATGAATGTTTTTCAACCTTTTCCTCCTGTTTCTTCCTTCACTCGTGCAACGAAATCTTCAGTCTTGTAATTTATACAAACAGCAGCTCCAAGGTCCTTGCAAGCAGCTAGTTTTTCCTCACTTCCTGGTGAAAAGAGTTGATTATTTTATCAACCAAAGAAGGTAGAACCCAAATTATCGTAATCATTATTTCATGACAATGGATGTGAATTTGGCAGCACACCTGCAGTGACAAATACTTTCACTCCATAGTATGCAGCCAGTTGAATTGTAAATGTTCCGATTCCACTAGAGCCTCCGTGGATCTGAAATTATGTGTTATTTTCCAGTTTAACTTTTAGAAAAATATGATAACTATAATAACCTTCTGACAGATTTTAGATTAACCAGCGATATCTGAAATTAACATATTACTCATCTAATCCCATGTTAGCTTTCAGATTACTAGCACTCATTTCACTTCGCGTTTTCCCCTATTTGAGAAATTGTCCATTTAACTTAGTTCCCAGATCATCTCTCTGTTGGGAATTTACTTAATNGATGTTCAGGCCAGCTTGCGCGCACTTCGACTAATTCCATGAGGACCTGAAGTTTACGGCCGGGTACTCACCTCAGTGGCCCTGAGGGGATTCGAACTGAATTAACAAGCGATTTTTGAAATTAACATATTAGTCATCTCATCCCATGTTAGCTTTCAGATTACTAGCACTCATTTCACTTCGCATTTTCCCCTATTTGAGAAATTGTCCATTTAACTTAGTTCCCAGATTAGTTCCCAGATC